TAAAAATGACATAAAAAACTATATAGCATACACTGACGGATCAATGAAAAAAATCTATAATAGCAAAATACTAACAAAACAACAAATACAAATAGGATGTAGAATAGTCCTAATAAATCAAGATACCAAAGCAATAATAAAAGAATTAAATGAGAAAATAATAGGTCCACTATCATCAACAAGGGCAGAACTAGTAGCAATAGTATTAACTATAATAATATTTCTAAACAACTCAAATATAGAAATTTTCACAGATTCAAAAAGCTCAGTAAATGCAATAACCAACTTTGTCCATTTCAAACAAAGAAAACGCAAAAAAATTTACAAAAACCCAAACCTATTACTAATAATAAAAAATACAATAAGGGAAAAAACATAAACTTAAATCTAATTAAAATTAAAGCACATACAGGAATACCACTAAATAATAAAGTAGATGAACTAGCTCAAAAAGGAACAATAAGTAAAATAATAGTAGATCTTAACTATGAACATCCGTTTGTAGAAAACTATCAATTAAAAAATGGAAACAAATTCTTAGATCATCCAATACAAGAATTAATCAAAAACATCAGTAATATTCAAAATCTAATCAATTGGAAAACACAACTTAGATTTATTCAGTCCTTCAATAGAAATATAGAAAAAACAGTAGATTGAAATGTAACGAAAGAAACTTTAATTCACTCAAAACTAACAAATGGAAAAATATCAAGTACAGATCAAAGTTTAAGAATATTCAGAATTAAAATAATATGTGACGAATTACCAACATACGCAAGATTAAATAACCTCAAAGAAGAAATATATGATAGTCTTAAATGTCCAAGATATAAAACACAAGAAGAGTCAGCATTCCACATCTTCACGTGTCAAACTAATAAGGAAAATTTCAAACAAATATGGATCAGAACGGTTAAAAAACATCTTAAAGAACTAAATATTAATTATGATAAAACCAGAAATTTCATAAGAGAAAAAATAATAAAAAACAAACTATATTCTTTTGACCCGAATAGAATAAACACATAGAAAACAACAAAAGATTCAAAATTCAGTTTAAGCAATATAATAAGAGGACTTATACTGAAACAACTAATTGATCAAATAGCAGCAATAACAAGGTCAGATAGGAAAACAGCCAAAGAAAATACTCTCAAAATCTACCAGACCATAATGGTGAAACTTTACGAATTATAGTTAGAAAGAAATAATCAAATTCAAGAAACAAAGGAACAAAAGGAAATAAAAAGAAAACTTGAAGAATTCCCAAATATAAAATCAAAAAATAAAGAAAAAAATAATGAAAAATATAAAACACAAAAAAATCAAATAGAAAAATCCAAGAATCACATCTTAAATATAGCAATTTACAAGTTTATTTTCAATTTATTAAGAATAGATGTTAGTGGAGCCGTAGCAGTTGAAACTTACTAATTGTAAAATCTAATTTTACATGGTGATAGGTTAAGTCGTATTGTCAGATTAGCTAATGCAATTTCATCATATTCTTTGTAATACTTAAAGGAAACTGTATGAGATCGCGCTGGTCTACTAAAATAAATAAATAAATAAATTTAGTTCAGTCTAAGTAAAGTCAAACTTTTCACTAGTTACTATCAAATATGCTTCTAATTAAAGTTGTAACTTATATTTTTGACTACAAATTTCTATAAGATTCTTTATAGTTACGATCAATACTTATTAAAATCGAATAATTATAAAGTTATAGTTTTAAATTCGAATTTTGAAAAGTTTTCTTTAAGTTAAATTTTTTTCAACAAATATCCATCTCATTTCAACATAAAAGGTATTATATGAAAGGCCAGAATCAGAGGAATAAAAAAAAAAAAGACCCAATTTAATAAATTAGATCATGAGTTATTAGCAAATAAAAATTTACTTAAAAAATACGAATTTTTAGGTGGTCGGATACTTTTGGTAGGGGAGTGTACAGTGGGATATCAAAAATCACCGGACAGTTGAAATTTTTTAAAAAAATCACTAAAATTAAAATACTAATTGTGCCACAATGAGTAATCTAAATTGCACAAACTTTTTTTTATTAGATTCCCTTACACTGAGGCTATCATATGAAATACTTTTTATTAAAATTAAATGCTTATATGTAGAGAAATTGCATTTCAAATAAAATTGAAAAAAAATTATAAATTTAATTTTTAAACGTTACCCATACCGGACTCAATGAATTTTAAAGAA